GCCCCTGCTTCAGCCCATCCTCCGCCCAGCCCCTCCGCGCTTTGCTGCGCTCTCGGCCCAGCCTACCTAGCCCTTCGGCGCCTGCGTCTCCCAGGAGCGGGCCCGGCCCAGCGACCTATAATTGCTGGTTGCTAGGGTCTGTTGCTAGCTGACCGGCGCTTCTCACCGAACTGCTACCTCACTGGACTTTTACCTCACGCTCTGAATTCCCAGTGAAAGGAGATGAAAAATGAAAACTCTGTTGGTTTAAGAAGCAGCTGACTAGTGTAGGGATCCAGAGCTTCCAGGCACCTCTTCTGATACTAGGGAAGGAAAATTGTCAGCATCATGTGAGAGGTACATCCAGGGAGCGAATCTTGAGCGCTTGTCTGCAGAGTTATCTGAGGGTAAAAGTCCCATTTGTGCAGTCCCAGAGGTCCCTCCTAGCTGTCCGCGGAGCACAGGGGCACTTCTGTGGTCGCCCTACAAGCTAAACGCTCATTGCATCTTTTTTCATCATTTCTAAACAGCGGTAACGGAATCCCAATGATCCTGGGAAATCATGTATTGAAGTCCATCTGATTTTTGTATTACATGCTAATGCCCCAAATGGAATTTAAAACAAATTATTATTATTATAGAAAGAAAATTTATGAATAGTTAGATCCTGTTGGTCTTCAGAGGCTTGTATAATGGAAGATTTTACATATCTTTTTGGCTAAAAACTTTCTAAATGTGATAAATTTTGGGAAGTAGTGAAAGAAATACCGTCTCTACAGTTAAGAAAAACTACCTTTTAAGTGGCTTAAATAGCATTGGCAGACTGAATTTTGTGGTAGCAACTGGGAAATTTTAGAATGATCCTGATGCATAATAGCATTTGTATTTTAAAATTCTGTACTAACTATAAACCTAAATTTTTTCAGACTTAAAAATATACTTAAACCCTCTTTTTCTTTAAAGAAATCCTGCTTGGGCTCAATATAGTATGAATACAGAATGATTTTCAAGATATAATCTAAATTCTAATAAATTTCTTTTCAGCCACAATTAAAAAATACTCAAAAACTTTTCAGTCTTCACTTAACTAGTAGTTATGAAAAATATTGCTTATTATTCATTAAAATGCAACAGTACCCACAGCTTCTTCGAAGACCCTTACCTCCCCAAATCCCTAAGCTGTCTTCGTATAAGAAGAAAATTCATACAGGTATGTGTACTAATCGGATATGTTTTAACCTTTGTGTCTTTTACATAGAAAATCCCTGCCTTGCATAGCTCAGAATCATAATAGTTAAGGACACTAGCTAATAATCATAACTTACAAATGTTTGTTGTAAGATGACATCAGGTTAACAATTCTACAAGTACAGTCATTGATCCTCATTTATGGGTTTGGTAAATGTGGATTTACAGACTTGTAAGATTTATTTGTAACCCTCAAATCAGTACATACTTGTGCCTCTTTCTCAGTCCTTCATGGATCTGTGCAGATAGTGAAAATGAGTTGTGCAACACACATGCACCCAGCTGAGATAGAATAAGGCTATCCCTGCCATTTTGATTTAATCCCATTACTGTAAATAAGTGCTGTATTTCTTAATTTTTATGCTTTTTTTGGGGGAGTTGGTGGTGGTGATTTCACCTTTCAAAATGGTCCTAAGCATAGTGCTAAAGTATACTATCTAATTTTTCTTAAATTCTATTGAAAGTTACCTACAATACCCAGGAAGCAGTAGTGTTGTTTAAAAATTGCAATACTGTAAACTTGAATCTAGGGCAACTACTCTTTTTAAAAGAAGCATAAATAATGTGCTAAGGAAAAAGAGAAAATGAATTATAATATGCTCACTTAAAACCAGAAAGGCAGGAATAGGCAAAGTTTTCTTAAAAGGAAGCAAAACAAAAATAATAGAAAACTTTATAAGCACTGTATATATTAAGCCAATAATGTAAATAGTTTATTACAATATTAATGATTTAAGTACCAATTAAAAGACATAAACTATCAGATGGATTAAAAGTGAGATCCAACTATATTTTGTATATAAGAAACTTACTTCAAATTAAAACACATTAAAAGTAATGGGATACTTAGCAAGCCTGAGGTCCTGAGTTAAATCCCCAGTACCAAAAAAAAAAAAAAAAAAAAGTAATGGGATAGACCACACTAACAATAATTAAAAGTATTTTGAATTCTGACAGAGCCAACTTCAGAATAAGAAAAATTATCAAGAATAATGTAATGTAATGATAAAGTGGGCAATTTTCCAGAAAGACGTAACAGTCCTTTACCTGTGTATTTAAAAGTGAGTCAAATTGTGTGAAGCAAAAGTGATGGAATTGTAAGGAGATCTATTATTACAGTTGAAGGCTTCAACATCCCTTTGTCAGTACTAGACATACAGTATTTGGCAGGCAGAAAATCAGCAAGGATATAACTGAACTGAACAGCATCCTCTATCGTTTTGATCTAATTGATGTTTCTAGAGCACTTTCCCCACCATCAGCAGAATATATGTTCCTCTCAAACCCTATGGGATATTCATTTACAGAATAAACTATGTTCTGAGACATGAAGCAAATATTAACAAATGTAAAAGAAGAGATATCAAATGAAGTATGCTCTCAGGACACAATCAAATTGAACTAAAAATCACTAGAAGATAGGTGGAAATCCTAGAATATTTGGGACATAAACAACATTCTTAAATAACTTATGGATTGAAGGAATCTTAAAATATTAAAAAAATTGGAATGAAATAAAACCACAACTTATCAAAATTTGTGGCAAAAAGCAAAAACAGGACTTAGAAGATATATCTGGCCTTGAACATGTGTATATTAGAAAAGAAAGAATGATCTAAAAGAAATAATTTGACATTTTTCTGAGTTTCTGAGGAAACTAGAAAAAGAAGACCAACATAAATATAAAGTAAGCAGAAGAAGACTATTATAAAAAATTAGAATAGAAACCAATAAAATTTAAAAAATAAGTAGTCATGAAAAAATGAAATCACAAGCTAATTCTTTGAAAATATTGTTAAAATTATTAAAACTCTACTCAAGCTAACCAAGAAAAAAGAGAAAGAACAAATTACTAATGCTAGAAATGCAAAAAGGTCATCCCTTCTAATCTCCAGACATTAAAAATAAGATAAAAGAATATTATGGACAACTCTATATCCACACAAAACATTTAAAGAGGGAGTTATACCTGTTATCTACAAACTCTATAGAAAACAGAAGTGGAGGGAACAATTCTTAATTCATTCTGGGAAGATAGCATATTCTAACACGAAAAGCAAGGATATTATTCAAAAAGAAAACTATAGACTAACAGTTCTCATATATATATAGATATAAAATTTCTCAAAAAAATTAGTAAATTGGGGCTGGGGATTTAGCTTAGTGGTTCAGCCGCCTGCCTAGCAAACTCAAAATCCTGAGTTTGATTCCTGGTACAAACAACAACAACAACCAAAAAAACAAAAACCAAAAACTAGTAAATTAAATCCAATAATGTACAAAAGAACTATACACCACAACCAAGTAGGATTTATTTTAAATATGCAAATATGGCTTGACATTCAAATATCAATATAATTTAACTGGTATCAAATATCAATTAAAACATGATCGTATTATAAGATGTACAAAACTGTATGTCAAAATCCAACACACAGTTATGAAGAAACTCTCATTAAGCCAAGAATAAAGAGGAACTTCCCTCAATTGGTAAAGAATATCTACCAAAAAACCAGTTAACCTTATCATTTATAATGAGTAATTAAACTTCCCTGTAAGAGCAAGAACAAGAAAAGAATGTCCCCTTTCATCACTGCTATTCAACATTGTATTGGAAACTTGTAAATAATGCAATAGGATAACAAAATGAGCTAATAGTTGTACTAATTAAGAAGAAAGAAAAGACTGTCTTTGTTCACAGATAGCATGATTTTATATATATATATATATGTATATATATATATATATATAAAAGAAATTCAGAAGATTAACAAACCAATTCTTGCAAATAAGCAATCAGAGCATGCTTATATAAAGATACTAAGATGCAGGTTTATTACTGTATACAAGAGCCAATTCCTATATACCAGCAATGAACAATTAGAACTTGAAATATAAAACATTCCCATTTACATTAGTCTCAAAAAATGACATTTATGTATAAATCATACAATATATGTACAAGAGCCACACCAGGAAAAATAGAAAATTGTAAAGAAATAAAAATGATCTGAATAAAAATATAGTCCACATTCATGATTTGGAAGACTCAAGATTGTCAGCATGTCAATTCTTGACTTATGAATTCATTGTACTTTTGGTTAAAATTCCAGTTAAATTTTGTATACTTTATAAAAATTTTAAATGTGGAAAGGCAAAAAAAGTTATAATGCCCAACATGATACTGAAGAATAAGGACTCTCCAACTTCAAGACTAGTAATAAAGCTACAGTAATTAAGATAGTGTTGTATTTGGCAAACAATTAGATAGATCAATAGATGACAATAGCACAGAAATAAACTCACAGAAATGCAGTCAACTGCTCTTAAAGCAACAAAGATAATACAATGAAGAAGATAGTCTTTTCAACAAATGTACTAGAATAACTAGGCATCCACATGCAAAGAATAATCTAGCTGGACATAGTAGCGTGCACCTGTATTTTCAGGAGGGTAAACTGAACTGAGGAGCTCAGGGTGAGCCTAGGGCAACATAATGAGACCCCAATTTAAAAAAAAGTTAACATGAAATGAATCATAGACTTAAATGTACAAATGCAAAACCATATAAGTTCTAGAACATAACTTAGGAGAAAACTTAGGTGACTAGGTTTGGTGATGACTTTTGTGGTATAACATTAAAAGAATAATTTAAGAAAAACATTGATAATTTGAATTTCATTGAAATTTAAAACTTCTACCATGTGAAAAACATTGTTTATTGGGGGGGTATTTTATTTTTTAAAAATTAATTTTATTGGTATATTTAAGGTATACAATATAATCATCATTGAAATTTGCACCTTTACATAATCCATCTTGATTCTTGTTTTTTACCCATTCCCCTGCCCTCCTTTTATATTTTGGTTTTTGAAACAGGGTCACAGCCTGTTCAGGCTAGGCTTGTAGTCACTGTATAACCCAGGCTGGCCTGGAATTCACAGCGATCCTCCTGCCTTAGTCTCCCATGTGCTGGGATGATAAGCGTGTGCCTTCACATTTGGCTAAGACATTGTTAAAATAATAAGAGGACAAACTAGATACTGGAAGAAAATGTTTGCAAAACACAAGTGTAATAAAGGAATTAACAAGGAACTCTTAAATTCAATAAAAAAGAAATAACCTATTTTTAAAAAATGAGCAGAAGATTCTCACCAAATAAGCTATCTAGATAGCAAATAAGCACATGGTAAGATGGTCAACATTGTATGTCATTATAGAATTGTAAATCAAAACAAGATACCATAGCATACTTCTTAGAATGGCTAAAATCCAAAACACTGAGGATGCCAGAGCTGGTGAAGAGGATCTCTGATAGGAATGCAGATTGGTACAGCCACTTTTGAAGATAGTTGGGAAGTTTTCTAAAAAGCTTTCTACATTTTTCAGCAATGCAGCAGCTGTACTCCTAAGCATTTACCCAATTGAGATTAAAAATTTATGTCCAGACAAAATCTGCACATGAATATTCATATCAGTTTTAATCATAATCTTCCCAAACTTGAAGCAGCTTAATGAGTGAGTGGGTAAACAAACTGTGGCACCTCTAGACAGTGGAATGTTACTTAGCACTGTGAAGATGTGAGCTGTTAAACCAAGTAAAGACCTGGAGGAACTTGAACTGCATACTGGGAAGTGAAGAAGCCAGTTTGAGAAGGAAGCATTATTTTTAATCCTAATGAAATGAAATTTTGGAAAAAGCAAAACTGTAGGGACAGGAAAAAGATCAGTGATTGTCAGGGTTTCAAGAAGGCAGCAAAGTGTAAGGATCCCAACTATATACAGTAAAATTAGAGAATCTTTGAAATTACTTTTGGGGTAGTAATAATTTTTTGGTATGATGCTATAATTCTAGGTGTGTGACATTAGGCATTTATCAAAATCCATAGCACTGTACAACACCTAATGTGAACTATTGACTTTAATGAATAATTTATAAACATTGATTCCTTAATTGTGATAAATATATGAATACGTGAAGTTGTGTGCAAGGGTGGAGGTAATGTATAGTAACTACTATCTTGCCTAATTTTTCTATATATCTAAACCTGTTCTAAAACAATCTTGATTTAGTAAAAATTGCAGAATAAAGTGAAAAAAATTCAAACTACAGAATGTAAATTACTTCCGCCTCCCATTGAAAGGAAAGGTAAATGTGGCAGTGTGCAGGTTGCTGGAAGGGGTTCTGTAGTTTACCAAAAGTGTTTACTATGTTCTTGTGCTTTATTTTAATATGAAAGAGAGATGATAAAGGTATTGGTGTAACCTTTTTATTAAATGAAGTAGTTTGGTCAGCTCCATACAAGCAGGAAGTAAACATTATTCTCTTACTACTGCCCTTCAAACCCATGCAGCACCTGTCTCTCTCCCAAGGTTTCTCTACTGTCTTTTGTCTGTTAGCCCTGTCTCATTTTCAGACATTAAGCATGTATTGCAGTTTGAGTCAGTATTCATTTAACATACAATCAAACCTTATTCCTTCTTCCAGCTCAGTCTATACCTGCTAATTGTTACGTGAGTAGAAGGAAAGAAGGGTGTGATAATCTCTTCCACCTTCTTTTTTTCACTTCTCTTCTCCAATTCATATTAGTTTCTGGCATATTACAGTGGGGCAAGTGTGGAGAACAGTTGTAATGTTAAAGAGTTAAAGTGAGAATCCAGCACTGATCTTGCACTCCCTGAAATGCTAGGACATGCAGGTCAAGTTGTTTCAAGGGTTCTCTAACCTTAATGTAGTTGGGACATAGCACAGGGCAAACTAGTACGTTTTCCCTGCTCTGGAAGTTGCAGTGGAGGATGTGGCCTATCTATCAAATCCCATTAGTGAGATGTGCCGTACCCATTAGATCGGTTCTTCCAATAATAGTTCCCTGCCCTTTCTAAATCTAATATAATTTAGACTTTTCACTTTTCCAATTGTTTCCTCAAACATCATCCCTATCATATGGACCAAAGTCTTGGTAGTTGAACAAGTACACAGAGAAACATGTTTAGAAGGTGAGAGTGTGCAAAGAAAAATTATGAAAGCTAAGGTATTAGTTTTACCTCCAACATCTTGATAAATGTAATCTAATTTTGTTGTTTCTTCTTTTTCTTGTTTAGCCAAGACTGATGAAACTAAGCCAATTCGAATAAAGTTTACTGGTACTAAAGATGGAACTTCTTCAAGTAAAAGAGATAAAACCAATTTTCCTGATGTTGTTTCAAGAAATCAATCGCAAACACTTGTGAAGATCCAAAATATCTTTCTTGATTATCCTGAACCAGAAAGAATGACTCCTATTCCAGTAATCCACAAATCTACTAAAAATGTTTATTCACACATTCCAGATACTGTTTCAGTTCCTGGTCCTATATTTCTTCCAAGTCACCCAGCACCTACTCAAATTTTTAGGAAAGAAATAAAGCAGGTGGAACGTTCAAGAAAGTCCCCCAAAGGACCCCACAAAGTAGGAAAGATTTGTATTGACAAAAAATTACAAAACATTTTAATTCTTTCTTCAATATGCTCTAAATCTGCAAATGTTCCTTGCCCGATTATTGATACCAATTTCAAAAACATGCACTCTGAGCATAAACTCTTACCAAAAAGTCAAGACTATATTAGAGTGTCCCCTCTGAGAACTGTAAGTGCAACATTGCCAACCCCTCTGCCTAGCACTGCATCTACTAAAGAGGAAAGTCTGTGGGCTACACCTTTCCAACACAGTGTTTCAGTCCTTGGTAAAGTGATCTTAAGCATTAATCAATTTCCAGCTTCCGTTTCCTTGCCAAAACCAACTTTACCAAGAAAACCTCGAAGACAGTCTGTGATAGGTAAATATAATCAGATTGTGGTCAGTAACAAAGGGGCCAATTAAAGGAAAGGAGAAAGAAGAAATGTAGGCAAGTGATGCCACTTGTCTGGGTTTTCACAGTGGAAAGATAGAATTAGCTTTTAGCTTTCACTGAACTCCTGTTTGGAAAGCAAGAACAGGAATCCTGACCTTACATACCTGCTGAGGCCAAATTGGTTCTCTATCCAGATGGTAATGATGGGAGCCAAGAAGGAAATTTAAAGGCTCAGGAAAACTAGTATAAAGGAGCAGTGGGAGTGAGTTAAAGGTGACATGGATAAGCTCCAGCAACAGAATTCCAAGGCTAATAGATTCCTTCATGGATGCATTTCCCTGGATAATTCCAGTTCATTAAACAATGAACAATTATAATGAAATCATGAAATTTTCAAATTTTCAAAGTTACACAAAGGTCATTCAATTTTTTCTTTTTTTTTCCCCTAGAAAATCTTGCCATAGAAAATGAAAAAGCAGGCAGTATACCAAAACCAACTGAAGGTAAATGCCAAGTTTATACCATGCTTTTAGAAACTATGTATAATATTATCTCTCTATAAAAGTATGACTTAATGTATGTGTGTGTATAATTTGTGTATGTGTCTCACCTTATTTTCAGTGAAGTCATTTACTCAGTAGCTATTTTGAAGTACTGACTATGAACCAGATTTTGTACTGATGTTAGGAATATAAAAACTAATGTATTCTTGATGAGAGTTTACTTTCCACATGCTAGGCCCTATCTTACGTGCTTTGACCTTAGTTACTTTGTAGAAACAAATGAAAAATCATCTTTAAAGAAATATTACAGAGCCAGACATTGTGGTACATGCCTGTAATCCCAGAAATCAGGAGGCTGAGGTAGGAGTATTATAAATTCAAGTCCTGCTTTGCTACATAACAAGTTGAAGGCCAACCTAGAATATAGCAAGACTCAAAAAACAAGACAAAACAAAACAAGTAAGAAATAAATACTACACCATTCTAGACTCCCCATTTATCTCTACCAACAATCTCACAAATACAGTTTTTGGCAAATAATTTTACTTAATCAGGAGCCCAAAGAAAAAGAAAAATGAATTAAAACTAGCATAAACTGTAAACAATAAAAATATGCCTATAAGTACTAGCATTATCTGACACATTTTAAAGTAAACTTTTAACTCCTGGTTCAGTTCATATTAAGATGCTTTTCTTGGGCTAACCTTCCTGCCAAAGTCAATATTATAGCTGCCAAAATATCCATAAAATAGCTTTTTTTTTTTGGTACTGGGGATTGAACTCAGGTCCTTGTGCTTGCAAGGTAGGCAGCAGAACCACTGAGCTAAATCCCCATCCCCCATAAAATAGTTTTTGAAAAGCTATTTGGAAAATATGTCGTATAGGCATGACTGCAGAGGCTACCATCCCTGAAAAAATGGAGCTCATGAGTTAATGCAACCCTTACTTTGGCATTTTTCCTGCAGCATGTGTGTTTTTGGAAAACACAGAAGTATAAGTAGGAAGTGGTAGTATCAATAGACAAGATAGAAATCAGTTTCCTGAACTACCAGGGAAGTTGGAACTCGAGGAACAAAATCTTAGAGAGGAGAGAACTGAAGGGAAATGAACTAAAGGTATACACAAACCTCTTTTAAGAGTGTTGGCTGATTTCTAAGTCATGTAACTATAATACAAGACTCTGAGGAACACCAGACAGCATCAGCTGAGGAGCTAAGAAGTTGAGCATAGATTTTTGTAGTTGCACACGAGGCAGATAATGGAATTCAAGCACTGTCAATACATAGGGAGGGGTCTTTCTGAACACACTAGCCATTCAGTTGAGGACTAAGAATGATATTCTAGAAAAAGGACAAAAAACTAAGACTAATCCTCTCTACCAGAGGGTTCATAGGCATCTACATCACTGACCTAGATAAACTCTGGAGCTCCTGGCCACTCCAGGGTGCTGCAATCACTGGACTGAATGTGTGACTCAGACTTTGGAATGCCACAGAGCATCCAGTACTCTTCACTGCATTGAGCTCTCTGGGAGTGGAGACCGCAGTGGGGGGACTTCTGGGTGACTAGAACCCAAGCTTCTATGCTTCCAGCCCCACACAAAGGTGACTGAAATGGTTCACCATAACTTCAGCGAGCTAGATACCTCTCAATCCTATCCCTAAGCTGATGTGGAGTTAGAGACATCTCAGTCACGGGCAGAGAAAGACTCTGTGGGTTGGTTTTGGTGGCCATCAAGGGATGGAAGAGAAAAACCCTCCTTCCTACCAGACGATTAGAAGAAACACTCAACGTGTCAACAAATGTGCTGAAAAGGATCAAATGGATCCCACAAAGTATATTCTGGGCTGGCCATTGATCCAGAAGTATAGTCTTCTTCATGACATGCTGCCTGTGGGAGAAAAGTACTCAGAGCTGCCCCCTTTGTGTGGCACAGTGGGTCCCAGAACATGGCCAGAAGCAAGTGCTTCTGCCCCACCCCAGAGCTCACACAAGTGTGGGATGCTCATGGAGATGGCAACATTTCCTGTTCAAACATTCACCGCCAGACTTTCATGCTCACTTCCCAAAGTTTCTTGCATCTTAAAAAGGACAGACTGCTGGAAGACAGAGTCCTTCTATTTGGGGTAGTTCTGCAGGTGGGACCACAAGCTGTAGCTTCTGAAAATGTACATAGACAACCATATATGCAATGCTAGCAAATAAGGCATGCCTCAATTGCCGCATATCTTTTAAAAGAAAAAATAAAGAGTTTTATTTATTTTTGCTTTGTTTGAGACAGGGTCTCACTCTGTAGTCAAGACTGGCCTTAAATTATCTATGTAGCCTAGGCTGGTCTCATGGGGATCCTCCTGTCTCATCCTCCTGAGTTCTGGGATTACAGGCATGTGCCACCATGCCCAGCTTTGCTCACTGTTCTTTCTTTCCTTCCTTCTTTCCTTCCTTCTTTTCTTCTTTCTTTCTATAAATTTTTTTTTTTGTTTTTTTTTTTTTTTATCCTTCTTTCCTTCCTTCTTTTCTTCTTTCTTTCTATAAATTTTTTTTTTTGTTTTTTGTTTTTTTGGTACCAGGGATCGAACTCAGGTCCTTGTGCTTGCAAGGCAAGCACTGGAACCACTGAACTAAATCCCTGGCCTCTATAAATATTTTAAACACTAAAAGAAAGAAAGAAAGAAAGAAAAAAAGAAAGAAAGAAAGAAAGAAAACCAAAACTAAGACTAGTCCTAACAAAGCTCTTTACCAATCCCTGACAAATCAAAGCAATATTTTCTACTTGAAAAAAACAAGCACTTGTTAGAGTATTATACAGGCCCCTTAAAACTGTTCCTCCAAAAAGTCCAGTATTAAGAAACTACACAGCAAATACTGAATAGTTTCTCTGGTGTGAAAAACTATAATAGTACATAAGACCCTAATGGGGTAATTAACAATGTGAAATAGGAATAAAAGGGCTAAAGGTGTAGGGAAAGTGGGAAGGGTAGGGGAAAGGGAATAAGGGAAAAGAAAAAAATATGAGAAAATGAAAAAATGGAAATAAAGTGTTTGTAAATTGGAAGGGGAGGAGGGGGTGAAGGGAGGGCAGGGACAAGGGGAAAAAATGAGAACCAAGACCTGTCGTGTAAAGGTACAAGATCCCAGTAATGAATGTAACTGTACTGTATACCTAGACTGTACCAATAAACTCAATAAAAAGAAAAAAAAAAAGAAAGAAACTACACAGCATCCTAATGGGGAAAAAAAAGACAGATAAAATGTCTGAAAACCAATAGAAAGAAATAGAAACAGCTCTGTATGTGATTCAAACATTGGAGTTTCAAACAAGGATTTTAAAATGACTGTGATTGCTATGTTCAAGAAAATAAAGAGGAGATTGGGGAATTTCACTAGACAACTGGTGAAATTTAAATAATCCTAAGAGTCAAGTAAAATTCTGCAGCAGAAAAAAGTAAATATTTTAACAGCTGTATTTAGCGAAGTATACATAACAGAATACTCCAACCATAGGACATTTTGAGCTCTCCATTCGCTCCAGGTGTTCTGTATCATTGTCTGTGACAGAAATTAACTTTTAGGGTTCGTCTACGTCATGAGCCTAAATAGCAGAGTCTTGTTGCCTTTTCTGCTTTATTGACTTTCTTTTATGCTGATAGTTTCCTCTTGGCAAGTTCAGGGAGAGTTGAAGGGTCCTCCAATGATTCAAAGATCTACCAGGGATTTTCAAACCACTCTCTTTTTCATTCAGAAATCAACTATGTGGGTTTAGACACTAAGAGAAGATGAGCAGGGAGCACAACACAGACTTAGATCTTAACTCATAATTCTTCCTTTTGGCTCCCTTCTTCTCTCAAGACAAGGTATTTCTATATCACATTGTACTCTTTATTCTGTGGTTAATCTCTAGATCTATTGATCTGAAATGAGCAATGAGGACCTATTTTAGAAATTAAAAGCCGAACATCTTTATTGTTGTTGTTCTAGGATGCTTTATTTCCTCTCATTGAAGCAATGGTGTAAGTATTGAGGTTGTGATATAGTCCTGCAAGTAATACACAAGAATGGCTGCAAATGTAAAATATAGTTCATAAAATTTCTAAATATTTTCTGGATACCCTTTGGGTGTATGTTTGTATAGGCCATTTTTGATGGAAGGTAGATAATGATAAGATAAATTTAAATATAAATGGTCTCTGCTTGGCTAACTCCTGGGTTTTTTTTCCCCCTTTCATTTTCTCATTAAATCTACAGAGAGAAGAATTAAATAACACAGGGCAGTAGAATCGTGCATCAAGGCAAATCATGCATTAAGGGGAACCTAAATTATCCAGGGGGGAATCTAAACAATCGAGGTAGAAATCTTTAAGCACATGGTTCTTTTTGAAAGACAATTGTGTTACCTACTTTTTTAAAGAAAGCCAAACAACATCCAGTTTGGCAAGCAGAAACAACCAAAATTGGGTGAATGAAAGATATGAATAATTTCTTCAAGAAGACGTGTAACTCATTCCTCCCCTGATCCTGTACTTTGGATAGAAACCAGAGCCTTCACATTGAGCTGTGTCTCCAGCTCTGTTTTTTTGAAAATTTTGAGATAGGCTCCTACTTGCCATCCTGTTGCCTCACCCTCCCTCAGTGCTAGGATTATAGGCATGCTTCTCTGTACCCAGCTGCAATAATACATCTAAATTGCATGTTTTGTTTTGATTATTTAGGTATCACTAGAAGAAAAATAGATTATTCAGATGCCCATATTTTACGTGGTGAAGGTTTTAGAACTGTTGCAGCAATGGGATATGAAACTGTCACAGCAATGACCGAGCTGGCCATAGTAAACTGCAAAATACACGGGAGGAATGCACTTAATCTTAAGGTATATCAGATCTTTTTAATGATAATGTCGTGCTGTGTTATCAGGTACAGTATTTCTACTTTTGGTTTCCTAACAGGTTAGTTTTCATGGTATTGAAAGAGTCTTTCCTATTGAAATATAGATTTTTTTCAGGAATACATTTAAATTGCATCTCTAAATCTGATTTAATTTGTCTTTAGCCCACCAACTGAGTATAAAAGATGCCCAGATCCAAAACAGTTATAGTGTTTTTTCATTATTTGGCATGATAAGAGAGGTGGGATTCAGAAAAATTTATCTTATTTTTAAGTAATTGGCAATCTTTAGACCTGTGTCAGATTCAGTACTACGTTAACTTTTTATTGGCTACAAGCCCAGTATGACAAATCACAATAATACTAATCACCACTTACTAAACACTTACTGTGCTCCAAGCAAATGCCATTTATAATTTTGGAAAGTAGGTATTATAATCTTCATTTTACAGATGAAAATACAAATGCTGAATAAAACCAAATTGCAGGGCCAGGGATTTAGTTCAGTGATTCCAGCACCTGCCTCATAAGCTCAAAGACCTGAGTTCAATCCCCAGTAACAAAAAAAAAAAAAAAAAAA